GCATGCCTGCTCACACAATATGCATTCTGCAGCCCATGGATCAAGGAGTCATTTTGACTTTCAAGTTTAATTATTTAAGAAACAGGTTTTGTAAGGCTATAGCTGCCAATAGGTAGTATTCCTCCTACAGATCTGGGCAAAATACATTGAAAACCTGCTGGAAAGGACTTACCATTCTAGGTGCCATTAAGAACATTTGTGACTCATAAGAAGAGGTCAAAATATCAACATGAACGGGAGTTTGGAAGACGTTGATTTCAACCCTCATGGTGACTTTGAGGGGTTCAAGACTCCAGTGGAGGAAGTCACTGCAGATGTGGTGGAGACAGCAAGAGAACTAGAAGTGGAGCCCGAAGATGGGACTGCATCCCTGCAATCTCATGATACAATTTGAATGGAAAGTTGCTTTTTATGGCTGAGCAAAGAAAACAGTTTTTTGAGATGGAATCTACTTCTGGTGAAGATGCTGTGAAGATTGTTGAAATGACAACAGAGGATTTAGAATATTGTATTAATGTAGGATCTGAAGAATCAAAAGTTAGCATAAGTACAGCCATCTTAAGGCCTAAATACCACCCCCTAACCCAGAAGAAGGAAAATCATTAGAATCTTGAAAAACAAGTTAGTTAGCCTGTGTCAATTGTAGTGACCTTTAGTTAGCCAACCGTAAATCAGTTAATCATACATGCCTAGCTTATCTTGCTAGAACCACCCTAGACATTCCGAAGGTGATCTCATCTAACCAGACCCCAGGATGTGGCGCCAGCAAAAGATTTATGAGCCTATAGAAAAAACCCTGTATTGTAATTATGGAAAATTTTACCCCTTTTGAAAATGCTATAAAACCTTCTGGCTTTGTGTGCTCTGGGTCCTCGTTGAGACCCGCTGCGACGGGCTGACGTGGACCCCAGCTAGTTGGCTTCTGAATAAATTCCTCTTGCTTGTTGCATCAAGAAACGTCTTTGGTGAGTGATTTGGGGCGGCGCCTTCCTCAGGGGAATCCAACATTAACTTGGTGGATAAAGCATTGGTAGAGTTTGAAAAGGCTCACTCTGATTCTAGCCACATCTTGAACCACAATGACTTATGGGGCAAAGGCAAGATATTTGGAGATGTCTGAAGAATTTTCATTTAATCAGACAATTTTGTTGCATAAGTTCAGTAGTCTAATTTATTTTTAGTTGATTCAATCAGCCTAAATGTGAGAATACTCCTTAAAAAATAATCTCTCGGAGAATTAAAAAAAAAAGCCCAACAGTTTACAAATCTGATTCTAGCATGTTCTTTAGAATTTCATCCTTCATAGCACTGTATTTATTTGTGTTGTTCATACAGCGGACTCTTGGAAGTAGACACAGGGATTGGGGTGCTGACCCCTCACACAGTTGAAAATCAACATATAACTTTTGGCTTCTCAAGAAGTTAATTACTGATAGCCTACTATTGACTGGAAGTCTAACCAATAACATAAAGAGTTGATTAACAGATTTTGTATGTCATATGTTATATACTGTATTTTATATTCTTACAATAAAGTAAGTTTGAAATGTTTTTTTCAGATTGTCACAAATCTCCAAAACTTTTTCCAACATACTTATTGAAAAAAACCTTTGTATAAGTGGACCCCACAGTTCAAATCCTACCTTTCAAGAATCAGCTATATTTTACTTGTTATTTTAAGAGGAAAAGGTTGAGGAAGGAAGTGTTAATCTTTGAGATTACAAACCAGGGATAATGTATTAGTCAAGATAGAGTGAGTTATGCTGTCATAACAGACATTCCCCCAAATCTCAACAGTTTAAAACAACAAAGGCTTATTCTCCCTCAGGCCATATGTCCCTTTCCATTGTGGGTCAGCAGTTTCACCCTTGCCCCATCTCATCTCGTCCTCACTCTGAGACACAGAGTGATAAAGCTCCCACCGCCTGGAACCTGGAACACCTCACCACTTCTGTGGGGGAAGGGAACAGGGGCAACAAGGGGCTAGGAAGTGCAATCCTACCCAGAGGAGGCAGGAGGAGCACATTTGGAGAACTGCACAGAATTCCATGGGCCTTTAGGTGGGGGTTGCTGCTCATTTAACAAGTGTGCGTCAGCACTTACTGGTCCTATGCACTATCTAGGTGGCCAAGAGGCTTCAACAATGACTTCAGGTTAAATTGTAGGGAACAAATCAGGATGCGGGCAAAACGACTTCTGCATAACAAAACACACTGGAAGAGCTGTAAACAACAGGAAAACAAGAATCCAGAGGAATTCTATAGGAGAGAATTCTTTTTATTTAATTGATGGGAGAAGGCTTCATAGAGAAGATTACTGGATAACAGTCTCAAAAGGAAAAAATTTTAATATTCAGGGATGGGACAGGGAGACAAAGAAGGGATTTTTGAGCAAAGGGAACAGCAGGACCAAAACAGTGCATTTTGGCACACCCACTGTATAATTGCATTACTAGTTTCATGGACAATGAATCTTAAAGCCCATTTCCTCATCCTGTGAGTCCCTGATACTTATCCTAGGGTTGTCATATTGGGGTACTGAGGATACTTTGTGGTAAATGTTTTATTCCTCTGGTGGAGTGAGTGTGTACATGTGTGTGTATGTATTCGTGTGTGTGTACATGTGTGTTTTGCACATATGCACACTGAGTGCTACTGAGCACTTGGTACTTTCAAGAGGTACTTCTTCAAAGTTAATGGGTGCTTGTCAGACTACTAAGAATATGATCTTCAGTTTTGACAAGCAGTATTTCACACCTGTTTTCTATCCTTTTGTTGCTCCTACCAAACAAACTACATAACTTTTATCTTACATTCATTACAAGGGGCTCTGTCTCCACTTAGTTTCTCTGATCCCGAGATGTCCCTCCTCATACAAGGGCAGCTGGAGGCTGGTGGTTTACTTTGCTCTCTGACAGCTAGGCCACCCCTTCATGCTACTCAAGGCAAAGGGAGAGTTAGGAGCGGTAAGACCAAACTGATACAAACAACCATGTAACTATTATCATGACAGCAGAACTTGTGTTAAAATATCTGAGGCAGATGCCACTTCTCTGGGCCCAATGACCTGTCATCTACTAGGATGGGCAAAGGCCTCTTCAGTTAAGAAAACATAATGAAATGGGAAAGCCACTGAAAGCAATCCATCCAGAAATGTGAAGAGAGGAAAGCATGGGGGGCCACACCCCGGCATGAAGCAGGACAGAGGCAGGCAGGCCCATCGCCTCGGGTCAAAGGAATGATATGGACACGGCTCCGCTGTCACCCAGTGCGGAATGTAACAAGCTCTGACCACAGACCAGCATTCAGTTTCCGAGGCAACCGTGCGTCAGCAGACATGGCAAAACTGATCAGGGGGCCATTGGGGTCCAGCATTTGAAGGAACTTGAGAACTTGTCAAGAATGGAGCTTGTGCCATCCTGGGAAGGGGCCAGGCAAGGCTGAGCAGTCCGGATGGCCCAGGGCTCCTATCTAAGACCAGTGAGTCACCTCCCTGGAGCTGAGGGGGCTCCTCTAGGTGTCTGGTGAGCAGGACCTCAGGACCCAGACTACACTTCTCTCTCCATGCCAGTCCTGGGCCATGCTGTAGACAGTGGAGGCCAGGACCCTCACACCAATTCCACAACATGCTGCCTGGGAAATATTCACTGAAGGGGAACTTGACTCCCTAAGTAACCTCCTCCCCAGGAGCTGGCAGGCATTCCCTATCAAACTTAGCTAACAGCAGTGCTTCTCAAACTTCATTCCACATTTCAATTACCTGGGAACTTCTAAATATTCTGAAGCCAAAGCTATAACCCAGTCCCACTAAATTATGATTTCTGGGGTGGGGCCTGAATATCAGTAGGCCTCCCAACTCCTCCGGGTGAATCCAAGGCACAGCAAAATGGTAGCACAAGCAGAAAACATCAAAGCATGGTCTGTGGACCAGCAGCAGCAGCTTCAGGTAGGAGCTTTATAGAAATGCAGATTCCCAGGTCCCACCCAGCCCTGCTGGCGCTGACTCAGCTGAATTACAAGATCCTCAAGTGCTTTTATTGCCCATTAAACCTTGATAAGTACCAGATGGGATGCCCTTTAATGGCACCTAATGGAGCCTGCTGATTGTAATTATCTCCGTAAATGGAGACCCCCTCCTTCCCCAGTAATGCAGCAGTAATGACCTAGTGGTGGTGGAGGGTGGGGGGGAGGGAAGGCATGTGGAGAGCAAGCCCCAGGAAGCTGTTAAATAGGCTTAAAGTAACAGAAAATTTCTGGTCGATTGTTGTTCCTGCACGGATTAATGTTCACAGTGCATAGACCTTCCAGAGGCCTACTTAGTCAGAGGCGTAGGTTTGTTTCCTACCCTTCTGTTTCCCGCCCCATGCTTTCCCAAGACAGCTCCAAGCACTTTGTGCTTATTAGCAGTTTGATCCCCAGGGGGCACCCCTGCTGCAGATGCTAATTCCCTTTTGCAGAAGCCCAGTGAGGTTCAGAGCCTGCCCACAGCCCCCTACCTATCCAGTGGCAGAGGGAGGACTTTTGTTTGTAGTTGTCGATTTGTTTCTCCTGTGTTACCAAAAGTAAGCTTTATATTACCGTTAGCTTTGAGGAGGAGGAGGAGTAAGGACCCAGGATGTCAGGCAGAAACTGCACCCAGAAACAGTGCTGGGACTTCCTATAGCCACCCCACGGAAGAGCCTGGCCGGTGAGGGGCCCAGAGGAGAGGCGAAAATAGGATTAAAAGTTTTTCTTCACTTCATTCCTGTTTTGAGCTACAGAGGGCCCTACCAGACTCCTTCCCGCTCACCTCATCCTGCCTAGAATGACAGGGACCAGCTGGGAAAACTTTCTGGGACCACCACAGGGCTGCTGTCACTGTTAACAAGTCCAGACATGCACAGAGACTAAAACCTCCTCTCTGGTCATAGCGCATAAACTCAGCTGCAGAACCAGCTCGACAGCATCACAGGCTGGCTGTACCTGAAGATAAGAAACACCACCTTCCAGACAGGTTGTCAGAACTGATGCTTTATTTTACCATGTTTCATTATTTTCAGAACAGCAGTGGCAACTAGAAACTTGTATGCAATGTGATTTGTATAACTGTAGAGTAAATAAAATAGAGAATGGAATCATAACAATAAATACACCTTAAATATAAATATACACACTGATACCCAACTTGTATAAAAATCATGCTCTGCAAATGCTCAGTCCACATACTGTCTGTGTGGGGTACTGATGCCCGGATGGAGTGTCACGGGCTGACACATGTCCCATTAGTTATAATTCTTCCAGAGGGCTTATGTAAGAGCAACACATTACAAATATTGGGGGGAAAAAATCACAGAGCAATTTTTTTATATTTAATACATTTTTTGTTCTACAAAGAATGAGCATTTCTTAAATATTACAAACAGTGGGACAAATATACTAGCTTATAGATATGTACAATGTACTATTTTATACTTCAAAAATGCAGGAAGATAAATTATATATATGTCATATATATAATTTTAGATCTAATGAACAATTCTGTATTGCTCTTGTATTGGTCTTGCTGTATTGCATGCATGCCCAGGGCACGCCCATGGCTTGTCACCAGAGGGAGGAGGGCCCGGCAGGGACAGGAGGGAACCCATGGAGTTCCATGCTATTACCAGAGTGCCATCTTCGAAGCAATATTCTGAGTTGTGTAACTTAACTGTGGCTAGGTTGAAAACTTCTGTGCCTGTACGCAGTGTAAGATGTGTCCTCAAGAACCGTAGCTACGTATTTGCGATGGGGCCACAAATGTGCCAAAGACATCTGATTCAGTGGCACTAACTCCTCAAGCCCTGAGACAGCTGGGGAGCCCCTAAGAGTATTTTGAGATGATCATCAACACCCCCAGTGCAGTGCATAGAAAATACACGAACAAAGAGCCGAGATGGAGGTGCAGGGCCTTCTTTATAAACTCAAGAGGCAAGCTACAAAGGGATAAAATATGTTCCGAGATCAGATTTGTACTTACTACAGGCTTCTCATATCCACGAAGCTCTAGACACATAAAAACAGAGATACCAGCTTGATAGGGCTATGAGGAATTCCAGCCTAGGGACCCTGGCAAGGAGGTCTCGCACTGGCCTCGAAGATGGACAGCTGGTGTGAGGTTGCGGTCACATCTGACTTCACAAAGGACCCACCCAAGCTCTCTAAAAATCCACCTTGGCACAAAGTCCTGTGCCTCCTTTCACTTAACCCATATCCAAGTTACAAACTGATAACATCTCTGAGAATAGGAATAGAAAAAAAGGTAGGTACAAGCTGAAAAGCAGATGTTCCCGGAAACCCGCCCACTAGATGTCACTATGGAGGCCGCGGAGCAGCCCCCGGGAACAGAAGGACCAGCCAGAGGCTGCTGCACGGGCACCGCGAGAAGCCTGCCAAGGGGCGCCGCGCCCACACCAGCGCCCAGGCTGCCGCCCTGCCGGCCCCGCCTGGGCTCGCTTTTAGGGCCAGGGCAACAGGAACCCGGTGGAGTCAACGTTTCTCCGTGGGCCTCCCACACGCCGAGCACATCACAGGGCTGGGTCAGCAGGAGAGCAGAGGGGAGACTACGCCAAGGACAATGGGCCAGAAAGGGCTGCTTTAGCACACGTTAGGTAAAGACACGGAAGGTGCAGAAGGGAGGAAACTCAAGGCGGGGTATGCACACATCTCCGACTTGGCAGCTGCTCTGGCCAGCGCAGGAAGCTCCCCTGAGCGAGCCGGGGTGCACTACTGCCACCCTGCCTGCCAGGCGTGTGAGCAGGAAGCCCTGCTGAGGGAAGCTTCTGCCAACTGGACCTAACGGAACTCAGGCTGTCAGTGGGTGCTTTTGGGCAGCAGAGCAAACGAGCCTGGATGAAGGGAGGGTGCTGAAGGTGCTGAACGGGGCACACCCTGCCCTGCCCGCAACAGAGCAGCTCGCCCGCCCCAGCCACGGTCAGGAACCTGCAGTGGCCATGATGTGGTTTGAAGGATTAAGGATGCACACAGAACATTAGGAGGAAAAGATACTTGATTCTAGAATGAACACTGCACTGAACAGCTCTTAGGAGACATTTACAATGGAACATGCAAGACACTCTACTATTACTTGAATGCATTTTCCAGGAGTATACTTCTGCTACAGATAGATCATCAAAAACACAGTGAACAACTTCTGTTTCAAAGTATTTCATTAAGGTGCAAGAATGGCGCCTGTATGTTCCTGTCATTTAGAAAAGTGGATGTGCTTCTGGTCTTTAGATGGCCTTTGTTAGCTGTTACCCAGCTGGATACAGACAGAGTTATTGAAAACCATCTTGGAGGAAAATAATTGTCTAAAAATAGCTATTTCAATTGCTTTTATTTAAAATCTGAGGACTGGAAGAAGTTATACCCCTCGTGGGTCAGAGGAAGGAAATGGCACATTTCTAAAACTCTCGAAATATGACACATGGATGCATTATTGCAATGGTTTAGTAACATCAGTACATCGTCACTTAAACACTGAAGAATTTTTGACTCAGCAGCTCACCCTTAGTGAATTCATCACTGTGTGTGAAAATAAACACTCTATAAAAGGTTAAAATGATACCTGCTAACTAGGTCTAGTGAGGTGAGGATACCCCCTCAGGGTAGCAAGGCTCTCAGGTCAGCTGGGAATTGACAAGAGCATCTCTGGGGAGGCTGTCATATTATTGGTAATTCAGTTAAAGAACCATGAGATGGAACAGCTTTGGCCTGTCTTCTAACTGCCTCCTCCCCCGCCCCCCAAGGTGTCATGGGCTTCCGAGCAGAGGGTCACCTGGCCTGGGCTGCTGCCTGTGGCTCCAGGGTGACATGCTCGGACACACATACAGATGCAGCTGCTCCTCCCAGCACACGCCACGTCTGGGGATATGAGCCTTACCACCTCCTCATGGCAAACCCCACCTTCCAAATGGCTGGTCCCTCAATCCCTGTGATGCTGAGCTGCGTGGTTTTCATTTTAACCTCCCTGCTTCTGGAGTGGGGTGCTTACTGTTGGTTGCATGAATTCCCTCTTATGGGCAACAGGGCGTGTCTCGGTCAAAATGCAATATCTAACACATGGGCATCATACATGCTACCCGGAGGGCCGTGGGTTTCACATGGTGGGGGGGCGGGGTGAGGGGATGGTGAATGCCCAGGAAGGGCGCTCACATGATGGTGCATTTGCCCTTGAGCTTCTCTTTCCTTTTCTGCTGCTTGCTCTTCTTCCCGTCGATCTGCAGGCTCACGGTCCTGCGTTTCTCCAAGTTGAGCAGCTCCTGAAAGAGCTCCTTCACATTATGGTTGAGCTTGGCCGAGGTCTCCATGAAGGCACACCTCCACCTGCGGGCCAAGGCCTCTGCCTCCCCACTCTCCACCTCTCGGCTCGGGCTCTCGTCACACTTGTTCCCCACCAGCATCATGGGGATGCTCTCCACGTCCCCTTTGATCTCGCAGATCTGCTCATAGATGGGTTTGAGCTCCTCCAGGGACTGTCGGCTGGTGATGGAGTAGACCAGGATGAAGGCGTGCCCTTTGGAGATGGACAGCCGCTGCATGGCCGGGAACTGGTGGCTTCCCGTGGTGTCCGTGATCTGCAGTGTGCAGATGCTCTTGTCACAGCTGATCACCTGCCGGTAGGTGTCCTCCACAGTGGGGATGTAGCTCTCCCGGAACGTGCCCTTCACAAACCTCAAGACCAGAGAGCTCTTGCCAACACCACCTGCCCCAAACACGGCCACCCGGTAATCGTTGCTCTGTTCCGGCATGTTGCTTGGGGACCCAACTATAACCGAAGTACCTAGCAAGGGAACCAGATGTTTGAGAGCATTAGTTAAAAAAATATTGAAAAGGATTGCTTTACCCTCTTTCAATAGCTTACAAATTGAAGTGATAACATGTGCTTTCACTCTCCCAACATTAGAGTAATACAAATTTCATTTTAGAATTCTATAGTTTTCAATCCAATAATTATAGTCAATCTGTTTTCAACAGGGCAGTTGATCTACTCAGGGGCCCAGTGGGCCCAGTCTGTTTCTCCTTATTGGACCATGATTCTGAGCACCGCTCACACACAGGGTTATCCCTATGCCCAGGGAAAAGATATCAAGGCAGAATCAGGGAGACACAGTGGGAAGATGGAAATTAATACCCCCAGCACATGCACTCATGCACACACACATCTCACAGCGTAGCCTGTTTCATCTGAAGTACTGTGAACACCCAATAGACTGCTCATAAGAATATGTGATTTTTTCCATGAGTACAGGGAGGTGAGAATGGGGGAGGAACATGCTGCTAGCATCATGCAGTGTTTATGTTAACTTATGAAATCCTCACCACTTTTTAGAATTGGCAGCATTATTCCTGTTGCCCAAAAAAAGAAACTGGGAACAGGAGGAACTGGGGAATGTAATGCCCCAACTCCACACAGCCTGTGGGAGGTGAGGCTGGGGGACAGAGTATCACTGATGCCATGCCCATCCCACAGGCCACCTGGGCAAAGAGCTGCTCAGTGGCCTGGGCACCACTCAGGCCACAGTGTGGACCAGATCATTAAGCAGCAAGAGCTGACACTTAGTTAAGCAGCTTGGAAAGTAAAATAATTATAGGTGCTTTATTTTTAAGAATCATAAGGAGTCAGGTGTTATCCACATGGTATGAACTCCTACAAAGGGTCATAAAATGGAGTGGAACAGGGTTTCCCTTCATCACAAAACACCAGCCCCAGCCCAAGGGGGAAATGTGCTTTCCTCACACGTGGATGACCTTCATGCTCTCACTGCTGTGGTAAGGAGGGATGTCTCACACACATGAACGTACAGAACTATACAACATCCAATTTTTTTAACCAAAGTAGATAAATAAAATGGTAATGTGGAAGCACAGAACTTAAGTTCTCTGGGGAACCATTGCGCTTTCACTTTTCTACTTGTAGAGTCACCGAGAGACCATAATAAAAGGCACTGCTCAACTAAGTCATTTTCAGAGGCCAGTAAAAATTATTAAACATAATTAGCCATGGAAGGAAATAGTGTGTGCAGGAAACAGAACATCAGATCAATGCCCAGGATGGTGGCATCCCAACTTCTGATATCTCTCTGAGTTCACCATGGAATTTGCCTCCAAATCCACTCAATTAAATACTCAGCTGTCCTTGTGGGCATTTTGGAATCCCTAACGTACCACAACACTGAAGAAGCATCAAATGCTAACAGAGGATACAGAAAGATGTTAGGAAGTCCATTAACAGAACAAGATTGTGGAGAAGGCTGCATAGAGTTTGATCAGTCTAGTAAATGTTCATGAGATCATTACAATCAGTTCAAGAGTGCAACGTTGCAATAAACTGTCCTACATACGAAAAAATGCAACGGTCCTTACAGTCTGCTTTGAAACTCTCTGCAACCTCAGAATGAGCTTTTCTTTATGCTTGGAAATATTCTCACTCAGCCTTTCCTTGTATTATGATTACTAGGCCCCATTCTAGAGTATAAGCATCCAGCTAGAAAGGGAACATGACTTAACAAGCTCTGTACCCCAAAGCCTACCCAGGAGCTCTCAGTCTTCATCTCATACTCATTCTGTGTTGGGTGCATATGTTATCAGAGGGCTAAGGTGTCTCCATTGTTAAGATGGCAACCAAACTATATAAAGCACTAAACATAAAAAGGGAAGATGTCAGAGCTACCGTTATTCATCTGTTCAAGAAATATCTTTTGAGCTTCCTTTAAAGGCCAAGGTCTGGTCAAGGGGCCAGAAAACACATGTTCAGGGAACTTAGGATCAAGTGGAGCAGACAGACATGAAAAGGTAACTTTATGAAAATTTAATAAATTATGTCACACCAGTGCTGCAAAAGAGAGATCTGAAGGAACCGAATCAAGCCTGGGGCATCAGGCCCAACTTCCCTGAGGAGATGCTATGGGAGCAGGTACCTGAATGGTGCCCAGGAGGCAGGCAGGTGAAAAGGTACAAAGTTCAATGTGAATATATGAGACAGGTCTGGGGCAATAACTGCATCTTCAACTCTCTGGCAGTTCCTAAACCACGAAGTATATTCTTCTGCCTCAGAGTCATTCCTTAATTTTACGAAAATCCCTTTATATACTATGCATACTCAGTGCTTATCCCGTGGACGCTCACAGCATCAGAACATAGGCAGGCACAGAAAGGCACACCCTGCCTAGTAGATGCTGTTGTAAAGTCATAAACAAAGGTGGGAGGAGAACTTGGCAGGTCATCTAGTTCTGCTGGGGCCTCAGGAAAGATTTCACAGGGGGCTGGATGGGATGGTGGCATGATGGAAGGTGTGTCAGGAGAAAGGGCCTCTTGGAGGTTCACAGGGCAGGAGTAGACCCAGTGTCATGCCCTAATAGAAAGTTGGTGTGAACTGGCATCTGGGGCAGGGCTGGGAGAGCAGGTGTTAATCAAGATAAAAAGCAGAGGAGAGAAGTAGGTGATAGACAGTGAGGAAAACCTTTTCACATTTGCAGGACAAACAAGTAGAGATACATTAGATGTATGGGTTACATATGAAAGCTCAGCAAAGAGGTCTAGTCTAGTGACAAATACCTGGGTATCATCCATACATAAATAGCAGTATAATAAGTGAAAATGACCAGGGAGAAGGCATGTAACATGAGAGAAGGCCAATTAGTGTATCCTAGGAGGAGTATCTGGAAAGTTACTTAAACTTTCCACACTTGAGCTGCCTGAGGTACAGAGATAATAACACCACGTTCTTCACAGAGTGGCTGTGGGCACTTAGTGAGACAAGATCAATCACTTAGCACGGGTGCCAGTGAGAAGTTCTCTGGTTATTTCAAGAAGGACTCAGGACAAAGGGGGTCATAAAGATGCAGTGAGGGAGAAAGCTGGAGAGAAGATGACGAAATGCCAAGGGACTTAAAAAATGTCAAAAGACACTGAGGGGATGCAGTTAAAGCAGTGTGTAAAAGGAAATCATAGCTATAAATACCTATATTAAATGAGAAAAAAAAAACTCAAATCAATAACCTAATCTTCTACCTTAAAAGAGAAAATTAAACCCAAAGGAAGAAAAATGAAGAAAAGATTGGGTTACAGTGGAAATAAATAAAATAAAGAATAGGAAAACATACTGAAAAATCAGTAACACCAAAAGCTGGTTCTTTGAAAATATCAACAAAATTAACAAGCCTTTTGCTACACTGGCCAAAGAAAAAGTGAGAACAATCAAATTATTAAAATCAGGAATGAAAAAAGAGATATTACTACTGAACTTACAATAAAAAGGATTATAAGGGATTTCTATGATCAACTGTATGCCAACAAGAAAGACTTAGATGAAACCAACACACACTCCCAAATTTGACTCAAGAAGTAAAAAAATCTAAGTAGACCTATAAAAAGATAGAAATTTAAAAAAAAAACTATACACAAAGAAAACTCATGTCTAGACGGCTTCACTAGTGAATTCCAGCAAACATCTGAAGAAGAATTAATACCAACGCTTCATAAACTCTTCAAAATAATTGGATAGGAAAGAGTACTTCTCCCTCTTTTTCAGTCTAGTAATACCTGCATAGTAACACCAAAGTAATCACTAGGAAACTATAGACCAGTATCACCTGTGAGTTTAGATACAAAAATCCTCAACAAAATATTAGCAAATATATGTAAAAAGGATTATGCATAATAACCAAGTGGGATTTAAACCAAGAATTTAAAGTTGGTTTGACATCTAAAAATTAATACAACACACTGTATTAATAAAAGACAAAAAGAACCATGATAATCTCAGTTGATACAAAACACTTAAAAATTTTTAAAAATTCAGTACTCAATCATGATTTGTTAAAAAATACAAGGAACTTAATAAACCAGGAATAAAAGGGAACTTCCTTTTATTAGAATAAAAATATATTAATAATTAATAAAAAATAAAAATCCTTTTTATTTAATAAAAGGGAACAAACCAGAAATATAAAGGACATATAATGAAAAATCCTCAGCTAACACAGCACTTGGTGAGAAACTGAGTGTTTTCTCCCTAAAATCAAGAAAAAGACAAAGAGTTCCCACACTTGCAGCTTTTAAACAGCATTTTACTGGACTAGGATAATTAGCAAGAAAATGAAATAAAAGGAGTCCAGATTGGAAAGGAAGAAATGAAACTATCTCTATTGCAGATGGCCTATGTATATAGAAAATCCTAAGGAATCTACTATAAAACAATAAGAATAAATTAGTTCAACAAGTTTCAGAATCCAATATTCATACAAAAATCAACTGTAATTCTACACACTTGCAATGAACAATCTGAAAATGAAATTAAGGAACCAATTATACTTATAATATCAGCAAAAAAATAAGATGCTTAGGAATAATTTTAACAAAATATAAAATTTACACCCTGAAAACTACAAAATATTGTTGAAAGAAACTGAAGAACTAGGTAAGTGGATACCCATGTTGATATATCAGAGGAGTTAATTTTGTTAAAATGACAATATTCTCTGAGTCACCTACAGATTCAATGTAATCCCTAAAGAAAACCCCAACTGACTACTTTACAGAAATTAACAAGCTGATACCAAAATTTATATGAAAATTCAAGAGACTCAGAATAGTCAAACATGTTGAGTAATAATGAAAATAAAGAGCAAATTTGAAGGACACACACTTCCTGGTTTCAAACTCACTACAAAACTACAATAATCAAGGGAGTATGGTACTGGCACAGAATAGAGATGAATAGAAAATTCAGAGTCCAGAAATAAGCCCCCAAATTTATAGTCAATTGATTTTTTAACTAGG